AGGCCCAGCTGATTTTTTGTATTTTTAGTAGAGACGGGGTTTCACCATGTTGACCAGGATGGTCTTGATCTCTTGACTTCGTGATCCACCCGCCTCGGCCTCCCAAAGTGCTAGGATTACAGGCGTGAGCCACTGCGCCCGGCCGAGAATTCTTAATAAATTCTGCATACTAGTTCTTTACAGTTAAGTGGGTCACATCTGTACCAGTGTGTTGTTTCTCTTACAAATTATGTCTTCTGATTAATGGACATCTGTAATTTCAATGTACTAGAATTTATCAAGATTTTGGTTTAAGACATTTTTTAAAAATTTGCTTTAAAAAATTCTTCCCTATCCTAAGATCATAAATATATAAATATCTGTATGTACTTTCTACTGTTAACATGGTATTCCTTTTTCGCCTTGTTACTTTTAGCTTATTTGTGTCTTTATATTTGAAATACACATCTGGTACCCAGCAGATGTTGTTTTTATATTCAGTCTGACAATCTTTGTTTTTTAATTGAAATCTTTAGTTCATTTATATTTAATGTAATTATTGATATGGTGGGTTTAAGTCTATTGACTTGCTATTAATATTTGTCTTCTATTTATTCCTTTTGTTTTTTATTCTTCAGTTCCTTTTTGCCTGTCTGTTTTGGGGGGTGGGGGTTAATCTACTATTAATGTTTTATTTTATTTCCTTGACTGACTTCTTAGCTTTAATCCTTTTTAAAAAGTAGTTTTCTAGGGCTAACACAATGTTACAATTTATAGTTTGTTATTTGTGTATCATTCCATACTTTATTTGAAAATAATTATATTTTGCTGTGTGTTACTATGTGCTTATTTTTTACTTTCTGTAGGGGAGGAGCTCATCTTAGATGTCTCCCATACTTATTATTATTCATTCATTCAATAAATACTTATTAAACATCTACTATGTACCAGGGACTGTGCTAGGTATTGGAAATACAGCTTTGAACAAGACAAACATGAAGCCAACAGTTTGTTTGGGGAAATGAAAAAGTATGTGGAAAGTTTTCCTAGAAAAGGAAATGTGAGCAGAAATTGGTCAAGTGAAGAAAGGGATACTAGATGGTTCCAGGTTGTGGCAGCAGTAAATACAAAAACTAAAAAGCAGGAGGAATAAACAGCTTGTCCAGGGAGTAGTAAGATATTCCACATGGAATATCTTATAGGGCCTCGTTCAAGAACTTGGAGGCAGATAGTTACTTGAGAAGTGATTATTTATAAACAGCTGATTTGAGAAGTGCCTGTGTGGCCTCAGTGTCACTGCTATGAGCAGAGGGGCCTGATTCTACTAGGCAACATAGCAAATTCCCAAAAATTTAACATTTTGGCTCTCACCAGCTGGCCCCAGCACATCACTGCTCAAAAGGCTAATGAACATAATGAATGCAATTCACAGCTTCTGAGTGCCACTGTGGTTGTTACTGTAGATACAAGTTCAAGCCAGAGAGAGTTGGGGCAACGACCCCAATGTGGGGAACACTGAGTGTCTTGTTTGTCTGCAGGTTGGCACCCAACCCAGTAGATAATGTGGGGCTGCTCTCCTTCACCACATTTTCCTGGTTCACACTGGTGGTGAAGAAAAGCTACTGGCAAAAGCTGATTGTGGACACTCTGCCCCTGTTGTCAACATATGACTCATCCGACCACAATGTCCAAAGGTACCAGGATTTGCTTGGGTCACTGTATTAGTACAGTTTCATACTGCTATGAAGAAATACCCGAGACTGGGTAATTTATAAAGAAAAAGAGGTTTAATGGAGTCACAGTTCCATGTGACTGGGGAGGCCTCATAATCATGGTGGAAGGCGAAGGAGGAATAAAGGCACATCTTACATGGTGGCAGGCAAGAGAGCATGTGCAGGGGAACTGCCCTTTATAAAACCATCAGATGTCATGAGGCTTACTACCACAAGAACAGCACAGGAAAACCTGCCCCCATGATTCAATTACCTCCCATGGGGTCCCTCCCATGACAAGGGGGATTATGGGAGCTATAATTCAAGATGAGATTTGGGTGGGGAGACAGCCAAACCCTATCAGTTACCTCAGGAGAGAAGCCCACACTAGGGAAGTGTCCTGTATCTTTTGTGTGCTCTTTTGTGTGCTCCCTAGTTGTGTGCTCCACAATTTTCCCAATGTGGAAAATGACACCCATGGCTGCTGGTAACTCTTCTCTGAGACTTGGACTGGACTGCATGAACTTCTTGGCTCGGGTTATGGGGAGATGGGAATTAGCTGGCATTAGCGAGGAGAGGGGATTCATTGGAGGGCTATGGCCTAATAAGGCTCAGGACCCTTCTGGCTGGGCTGCAGCTGGTTTGCAGGGGTACTGCATCAGGACAGAGGTGGCTGGAATCTCACTTTGCTCTGTGCTGGTCAGACTCCACTTGACGAGCATGCAGCTTTAGGCATCAGGTTTTGTTTTACTTTAAAAAATCATTATTGGACTTTTATATTACAAAATATATTTAAGGCTGGGCGCAGTGGCTCAAGCCTGTAATCCCAGCACTTTGGGAGGCCGAGGCGGGTGGATCACGAGGTCAAGAGATCGAGACCATCCTGGTCAACAAGGTGAAACCTCGCCTCTACTAAAAATACAAAAATTAGCTGGGCACGATGGTGCGTGCCTGTAGTCCCAGCTACTCGGGAGGCTGAGGCAGGAGAATTGCTTGAACCCAGGAGGCGGAGGTTGCGGTGAGCTGAGATCGTGCCATTGCACTCCAGTCTGGGCAACAACAGCGAAACTCCATCTCAAAAAACAAACAAACAAACAAACAAACAAAAAAAAACCAAAATATATTTAGATTGATTCTAATGAAACTGCCAATATTTGACAATTTTAACCTGTAAAAATGTAAATATCATCTGTCCAACCTAATTCATATTCATTATAAAAATGTGGAAGCAGCGGAAGGTTAAGCCATAGAAGTATCTCTCCCACACTGCTGCTATACTCCCTGGAGGTCAGCACTGTGAAAATGTCAGCGTGGCTCCGTCCAGAATTTTCCTCCTCTGGTTAAACACACCCTGGGCTGCCATCGTCTTCTTCAGATCAATACCTCTTCTTACTCCTCACTCACAGGTCATGTTTTATATTAATGTAAACAGAAATGAAGCATACTACATAACTGTTGATCAGATTTCTCTTTTCAGTTAAGAGTTTATGAAGGCTTTTCCATGTTAGGACAAAGACATCAAGTTCATTTTTCCCAGCAGCTACATTGAACTCTGTGGTTCTGATTATCTATATAATAGAAAGAATGGAGAAGTCCTGGGAGCGTTAGTCATGGCCTCCTAATTGCTTCTAGAATTGTGCTTCTCCTCAGCTGTGCCCCGAAGAAATCTCAGCTAGTGGTAAACTCTAAAATCTACCGCCTGAAGAAAGTTGCCGGGGAGCACTGAGGGAAAGGGACTGGAGTGGCGTCTGCGGTATGCCGGCTCTCTTCCATCCTCTCTGGCCGGTATTCTCCATCTGTTCTTAATGTTTCCTCCCATTTACCCAGTATCCACTTACATCCTTGTCTCTCCCATGTTGCGTTATGCTCCTAGGGGACCCCTCCACTTCAAAGGCTTAAACACCAAACACACGCTGACTCCCGCAGTAGCATGTCCATGTCTGTCTCCAGGCCACGTCCCCTTTCCAGACTCTGAAACTACGTACCCAGCATCCGACGGGACAACTGCACTTAGGTGCCTCATGAGCATCTCCTGTCTAAAGCTGGCCCTATTCTTGATCCAGGGCCCCAACCTGACACTATTCCTCTCCTCTTCTGCTTTTCCTCATCTCCGTCTCTATAAACTCTGTTCACACAGTTGGCCAAGCCAGAAAACTGGGGTCCATCCTTGAACCTCCTTCACCTTTCCTGCCACATCTCATTCATCAGTAAGCCCTGTTGTCGCTCTCCGTCCGCTTTTCTTTAATTCCACTGCCACCTCTCACCTGGAGGCTGACAATCTCCTGCTGTGGTCTCACGCCATCATCCATCACTTTCATAGCAGCCAATTGATCTTTTAGATGTGCAAAATGATATTGTCACATTGGTTTAAAAATCTGTAATGGCTTCCTTTGCCTTTGGAATGAAGGAAGGGCTTTGAGGTTTTCCCTAGGTCCCGTGAAGTCCCCCAAGGTCCCAAGAGTTTCTGCCTTACTTCCCACTGTCCCGACAGCCCCTCCCCTTTGCCCACCACACTCCTGTCTCTCTGGCCTTCTTCCAGATCTTTGAAATGAACAATGTCCTCGCTGCGCTGAGAAGATTTTTCTCTTGACCTCTCTGTTGCCTCTGTCTTCTTATAAGAGCTGATACTGTGGCAGAGATGAGTGATAGGCAGAGGAAAAGAAGGGCTGGCAAGGACCAAGATGCCACACTCATACCAGCTTGTGTCTAGGCATTACCCTCTGCCCTTCCCAAGTCAGGAAAAGCAGAAAGCAGAGCTAGTGCTGGAAGGCACCACTGCCAGGAAGGAGGGCTGTGCTGAGCACCGTTGCAAGACCATGCCCAACAGAGTAGCTTCAAACAGCACATGGAGGTGCCAATCCCTTTTATGCTTCCTGTTTTTTCATCGCAGATTTCTAGTCCTTTGGGTTGAAAGGATAGGTACTGAGAAGGCCTCTCTGGGCCATATGGTCTGGAAATTCCAGAGGACTCGCTTGTTGATGAACATCGTGGCCAATATCACGTGCATCATCACAAAAACCATAGGGCCAGTGAGAGGGGTGGCCCTTCTTCTGCTTTGCCTGCTAGGTCTCCAGCCTGGCACAGAATGTCATTAGTTACTTTCTCTACCAGCTGGTGGGTTTAGTGCATTGTGATTATCTTTGCGCTCCTTGGGGGCGAATTTTCATAAAGCTAATCCTTGTCAAGCACAGCAGCAGCCACCAAAATTAATTAAAAAGTTTGCCTCCTAAAGTCAGCTTGCTGCCATGATCTAAGGCCTTCTATGCCAGCCTCAGCCCTCAGTGGCCCTCTCCTCTCCCCATCACACTATTTTACAGCCAGTTTTCATTCACAAAACCCTCCAGCTGACTGAGAGAGCATCTGGAAAAGTCTGGGTTGTCAGTGGCCTGTGTATAGCCCTTGTTGCCACCGAGTTTACCAAAGGCTTCTTTCAGCTTTTGCCTAGGCCATCAACTACCGCACAGCTGTCTGGTTGGAGGTGGTGCTCTCCACCCTGGTTTTCGAAAACCTGGTGTCCCTCAAGACATTGACACACATCTCTGTTGGTGAGGTAAGCTGGCCTAGAAAAGGAGTCCTGAGTGGTTTGAGTGCATGTGAGATCTGGGTCCTGGATAGAGCACCTGCCTTCCCTTTGTTTGACTATGACCTGTCCGTCATGTCCCAACTCCTGGCTAAGTGAGGTGCTGGAGACACAAAGCACCAGAGGAGTTCAGAGAGAGGAGGGCTCCGTTCAGGCTGGAGAATTTGGAGAGGCTTCCTAGTTCCAGCTGGAACAGGGCTCAGGGGTACTTCATCCAATTGCTTCGATGGTCAATGGGAACAGTGGAGCAGTACCGAGCACACTATAGGCATTTAATAAAATGGATGGACTGATGGCTCCAATAATCCCAACTGTTAGCGTAGGGGATGCCAAAGCCACAATGAAGACCTTGTCTGTTGGACTTCAGAGCTGACGTTTTCTTAAGCTCTTAATCCTTGGCAATAAAATTCTTACCGCTTATCAAACACACACACACACTCCCTAATCAAGGGAACCCCAGGTGGTGTGGGGTAAGATAAAAGACTTGCTTCTTTCTTACAGTTGCTCTTTTAGCAAACTTAAAGCATTTAATTATGATTAGATTCAGTTGCATATAGCAAACCCAAAATAAAGTGGATTAAACAAAAGGAATTAATTTCACCCCATGTAAAAGGAATCTAGAAGGGAACAATGCAGGGTTGGCACAGGAGATTCCAGATCATTCTGCCTTTCTTCATCACTGTCTTTGTACATGGCATTCATAATGGTTCAAAAGGACGTGCCAGAGACCCAGCCATCCCAGCCACGCTTCAGACAGGTGGTAGGAGGAAGAACAGAAGAAGGGGTGCTTTTCAGGTGGAGTTGGCTGCCTTTAAGAATTCATCCATGTAGCAGGATTGGCGGAGGACAAACCTCTCAAACACGAACTGAGAAAGGAAGTGGCTTTTTATTTGGCCGGGAGCTGCTGGAGGCTAATGCCTTGACCACTGAGCCCCCAGAGAAGCAACTTCTTTCGCTTCTTAGGGGCTGACAACTCTAAAGCGGGAGCAGGGGTGAAACTCCATTATGCTACTAGATGGTAACATTATGCTTCAAGTCTTTCTGCATTGAGATTCTCAGCCTTAAAAGACCGGCCACTCCAAAATCGTACCAGAACCCATAAAACTCATCATATTGGTCCTCAGTGACCCCTTCCTGCCTTAGAGCCTAGAACCCCTCAGCCAGTCTGAAAGTCTTCAGTTGAAGAAATGTTTGACTGACTCTTCCAAACCTGAACCCATGCACTTTTCTTTCCAGGTGTTCAATATACTGTCAAGCAATAGCTATTCCTTATTTGAAGTTGCCTTGTTTTGTCTCTTGCCAGCCACCATCCTGATGCTAATGGCCTTTTGTGCAGGATGCCTTTTTCATTCCGGGGCCCACAGCTCTCACAGCAATAACCATGTATGTCCTATGCATAGTTATTCAGGTAACGACAGGCTTGTGCACTTCTAGCTATTTTATATTTGCATTTCACACACTTTCACTGAATTGGGTAGAAGGCTGCGTTTCTGGCGCATGGACCTAAAGCTTGTGCCCCATTTTGTACTCACAGATTTACTTCCTTTGGAACAGAGTAGTTTTGTTTTTGCTTTTGTTTGGTGACAGAGCTGTCACCCAGGCTGGAGTGCAGTAGTGCAATCATAGCTCATTGCAACCTCAATGTCCTGGTCTCAAGCAATCTTCCTGACTCAGTCCTCCCAACTAGCTGGGACTACGGATGCATGTCACTGTACCTGGCTAATTAAAAAAAAAACATTGTAGAGATTGGGTCTCACTTTGTTGCCCAGGCTGGTCTTGAACCCCTGGGCTCAACCCATCCTCCTGCCTCAGCCTCCTGAGTAGCTGGGATTACAGGTACAAAACACTGCACCTAGCCACAGTGAAGTTTTTTACAAAACTTGAATTTGAATGCTCCAGGAAGGGGAATGCTTCTTCAGTTTGTCAAAGCCCGCAGCACTCCCCTTAGTCCTGCAATTCATGCCTTTATATCACCTGCCTGACCCCCCTCAGACAGCATCAGCAGCCACAACTCAAGGGAGGGAAAGATTTGGCTGAGAATCTCAAGCCAACTTCCTTTAGAACTTTTCCTGGCACTTACACTCCCATCTCTGGATTTTTAGGCCAGGTGCAACTCAGCAGTTCTCTCTGAAAACAGTGTTTGTACCTTGATTTCAGATGTTTATGGCCAAGCTCAATTCAGCTTTCCGAAGGTCAGCAATTTTGGTGACAGACAAGGAGTTCAGACAATGAATGAGTTTCTGATCAGCATCAAGCAATCAAAATGTATGCCTGGGAGAAATCTTTTACCAACACTATCCAAGGTAGGACAGAAATAGCTGCTTTAAAAACCACTTATCTTGTAGAATGTGCTCTTCTAAGGGGTTCTTAAGGTTCCCAGGGCCAGGTGTTCCAGAAGGAGGCTGAGGGGACACTCTGAGCTGCTCTGCAGGTCAAAGGATTTTTCGAAGGATTATGGAGATTTAATAATAGAGCCAGGCATCTGTTCTGGTGAACCCAAGGGTGAGTGACATATGGTTTCTCTTTCCTGGGACATGTGGATCCTGGTTCTGGCGAGTTACCTTTAGTAAAAATAATCCACTAAAACAGTGAGCAGGTAAAAAGCTGTCTCCAGCTATTTCCTTGACTTAGAAGACTTGTATACACACATGCTCTCACACACCCAGCGTTACACAGACCTCTTCACCTGCAGCAACGTCCTTGTGTTTGAATGGTCCACTGACTCAACATTCCTTGGACAGATATGAGAAGATGCACATGTAGCTTTGTTTTTTAAAGCTGATATAGAATCTATTTTGATCAAATATAAATGCAAATTTAATTGCAGGGACATTAACATAATTGCTGACATAGACTCAGGTGGTTCACCAGCTAATGATCTGGACCACTGTCACAATTGATTCTCTGAATGTACAATTACACTTTTGCACCAGCATGGAATTGGGCCAAAGCTGTGTATCTGTACTCTAGGGAGTGGCTGTAGAGAATCTGCTTCTGAGCTGGTCAAAGGAAGTGCCCCAGGTTAGGACCCTAGCAGCACTAGAAGACCCAAAAACACATCCTCACACTCCTGAGTTCACTTCAGTGCAATTTAATTTGATTTGATTAAAGTTGATTCCATTTGATTTAATTCAACTTAACTCAATTTAACTCGTCAATTTAGTTCAATAAATGTATATCAAGTTCCTACTGTGTGCAAGGCCATGGGAGCTACACAGATGAAATGGAAAAGGGTTTCTGCTTTTACGAATAAGGGAGGATGAGATAACTGAGCTCAAAAATAGCCACGAGTTTGTTGGCTCTACCTTCATAGTATATCCGGAAGCCATCTGCTTCTCTCCATTCCACTCCCACCCAGTCCAAGCCAATATCCTCTCCCTCCTGGACTACGGCAAGGCCTCTAGGCACTCCCCCTGCCTTCCCCCTCTCTCCTGAAATCCACTGTGCACTCAACAGTCAGAGTGACCTTTAAAAAATGTCAATCAGATCCTCTTCCTCCTCTGCTGGAAAATAGTGGCTTCTTATCACACTTGGATGATTCAAAGGTAGGTCTTTGGAAGGGAATCCAAATTCTTCCATATGACCTATTAGGTCCAACACGATCTGGCCCCTGGTGCCCTCTCAGACATCATCACATTTACCCTAAGCTTCAGTAACTCAGCTCTAGTGGTGTCTGCTTTAGTCTGTTTCTAGAGCCACATAGCACGCTCATTCAGGCTTCGGGATCCTTGCACTCGCTGTTCCCTTTGCCTGGAGTGCACTCCTGCTGGATGTTTACGGTGGCTTTGTCTCGACTTTAGGTCTCTTCTCAACATCCAGAGAGGACTTCTGGACCGCAGTGCCAAGCAGATCCATGCCCTACCTCTCAATCACTTCATCCTGCTCATGTGTTTCAGATCACCCAACACAATTTGCAGTTATTTAATTGTTTATTTCTTTATTTTCTGTCTCCTCCACTGGAAGAGGGCCAGACCCTTTTCACTCCTCTATTCTCCAGCCACAGGCATATAGTAGACATCAGGTTCAAATATCTTGACTGAGTGAACACATGAATTCATGTTGTTCTGTGGGGGAAGGTAGGGAAAGTGCCACAAGAGAAACAGAGACGCTCCGCAGGGGAGCACACTAGATTGGGGGAGACTGGGAAAAGCTTCCTGGCAGAGGTGGCTTTCAGGTAGGCCAAAGGGACAGAAAGGATCGGGGTGCACAGAGAACTGGGGAAACCCCCTCAGGGAGGAGCAGAGGCCTGGAGGTGGAGATAAGAGGGTGCTCTTAGGGACAAGGGGGTGCTGGATGTTCTTTTGAGTAAGGGCACCTGGATAGCAGAGCTTGGATCCCAGGAGAAGTGGGCTCCAATTCTGTCCCAATCACTGAAAAGGCAAGTTACTAAACCTGCAAGGATAGTTTGCTCTCCTGTCAAAAAGGCATAAAGTAATAGCCTCTCATCACACAGCGGTGAGGACGATCTAATGAGAAAGCGCCTGTGAAGAGTTGAGCAGAGCACCTGGCACTTAGTGATCACTCTGTTAGAATGTCTATGGCTATCCCGTGCCGATGTGAAAGGGCTTTTGCAGAGGAGGCTGGAATTGGGGTTGAGGACAAGAAACAGCAGGGAAGGAGGCTTGAATGTAATTTGTGAGCATTGCAGAGAGGTGGACATATTCTGGACTTAGGAAAGGGAGAATGCTCTTGAGTTTTTGTGGCTATTCTTGGGACTCCAGGCAGGTGCCTTCAGGCCAGCAGCATATGTGTTTTCTTTCTCCCCTACAGTACAGTTTTAAAAAATGTTATTTCAATTAGTTCCCAATATTTAAAATTAGGGAGATGTCTTACAAAAATATGGACCTCATGGGAGGATTGCTTGAACCCAAATATTCAAGACCAGCCTGGGTAACATAGGGAGAGCCCATCTCTGCAAAAACATTTTTAAAAAATTATCTGGATGTGGTGGTATGTGCCTGTGGTCTTAGGTACTCAGGATGCTGAGGTGGGAGGATTGTTTGAGTCCGGGAGTTTGAGGCTGCAGTGAGCTCTGGCCTGGGGGATGAAGCAATACCCTGTCTTAAAAATAAATACATAAATAAAACTCTGGACCTCAGACTTCGAAATTGTTGATGGTCTGGTTGTTACTGGACCAAACTGGGGTCTGCTCATCTGGCACAGTAGGGCCAAATATCCACAGAGGTTTTGTCGCTGGAGAAATGAGGGCATTTATTTGCCGCGAGCCGAGCAAGGACAATCAGGCCGCTCATGCTTAAGACCTGGCCTCCCCTGTGGCTTGCAAGCGAGAGTTTTTAAAGGCAGGGGTACATTTCAGAAAAGCAAAATTAGAGGCAAAAGTGTAACTCAGTATGTGGAGGTTATATGTTGGTTTGGCCTAAAAGGGTGGGATATCTTGAAGCAGGCAGCCTATAAATCATGGGTAGATTTAAAGATTTTCTGATATGTACCTGGTTAAGGAAGGGAAGCTTTGTCTAAAGATTTGGAGTTAGCAGAAAAGAGTGTTGGATCCGGTCTGTGGGCGTGATCTTGTTCAGGTTCCTCAGGAAGAAATTTAGAACCGAAACTGCAGTGAGAGCTCTGTCCTCAGCTCCCCCTTGTCTGAGGTCTGTGTACCAGCGGATCCATTGGCTGGGGGTCCGGGTTTCTGAAACACAACTCAGAGACATATGTTAAGACAGAATCTTTAGTTTCTGTAGGGTAACCAAACATTTTTGTGACTCTAACTTGGCTATTGTTTCAGGCTATTACCTTCTTGCTTATCAAGTTGCTCATTTACTTCTCAGGGTTAGCTGGGTTCCTAGAATTTCCCTTGAAGGAACTCAAGATTTTCCTTTGTTTCAGTGCTTGCAATTGGTGGGGAGCAGGCTCCTAGGAGAGGTCCCTGATGTATTTCATGGTAGCGCCAGCCTCCCCTGCCCTGAGAAGGGTCTGCCCCTTTGATTCTTCTCTCCATTACCGCTGCGCTCCAGAGCCCCGCTCTGGTCTTCCCTCCCCCTGTTCCCACTCCCGTTGTTGACGGTACTTGCCTGGCCCCTGTAGGCATCTAAGTTTATGAATCCTGACACAGAGTGTCAGGACTGGAAGGGGCATTGGACACCATCCAATTACAGCAGCTGATAGGTACCGAGCTCTGAGTACCTGCTGGGTTTGTGCCCGGGACTTTCTGTGGTTTCTCTCATTTAGACTTCACAACAGGACTCATGAGCACTCATTTGAAAGAGGACAGCGTAATGCTAATACATTTCATAATGCTAGCATTTGACAGGCAAAATGAGACCACCTTGGACTGTTTTCTATTTTGCAGACATAAAAAGAAGGGAAAGAAAAATTACTGGAAAAAGCTGGATTTGTCCAAAGCGGAAATTGTGCCCTGGCTCCCTTCATGTCCTCCATAGCCATCGTGCTGACATTCTCCGCCACATCCTCCGGAGATGCAAGCTCGTCGCACCCGTGATAAGAGCTGGCTCAGGATCAGACCTCTTTTGCACCCTGACCCCTGCAAGTCCCAGGTGTGAAGCCCCTCCCTACCTTCGCTCAATACAGGAATTAGGAACATCATCCAACCATGGCAGGCCACAGGATGTGACTTCAACTCCAATCTTTTTTTTTTTTTTTTTCTGAGACAGGGTCTCATTCTGTCGCCAGGCTGGAGTGCAATGGTGCAGTGTCGACTCACTGCAACCTCTGCCTCCCGGTTCAAGTAGTTCTCCTGCCTCTGCCTCTCAAGTAGCTGGGATTACAGGTGCACACCACCACACCTGGCTACTTTTTGTATTTTTAGTAGAGACAGGGGTTTCACCATGTTGGCCAGGCTTGTCTCGAACTCCCAACCTCAGATGATCCGCCTGCCTCAGCCTCCCAAAGTGCTGGGAATACAGGCATGAGCCACTGTACCCAGCCACCTCCAGCTTTTAAAAACAAGTGCGTGGGTTGACAAGGGGCCCAGGAGAGCCTGACAGCAATTCTTCCCAAGTCCTTGGCTGGGCAGTGTCCGTAGTTAATGTTGGAATGCAATTTTAAGTGTGAAAAAAAAAAAAAAAAGAAATGGAAACCAAACAAGCAATTGGCTGTTTTATTTATTTACGCTACAAGAAGGAGAGTTTAGAAAATTTTCTCAGAGGGAGGGGGTGTAGTTATTAGGAGAGGCGGTGCTGTTGGGCTCAGAGTCTGGGTTTAGGAACCTGGTCTGCCTTGTTTAAATCCAGACTCTGCTCTTTACTAGCTATGACTTATAGCAAATCATTAAGCCTCTCTGGCTTCAGTTTTGTTATCTGTAAATGGGACGATGGTAGCCACAATCAGCGCTATTGTGAGGACTGAATCAGTTATTTTGTATAAAGCGTGTAGAACCATCTTAGGCTCTTAGGTGCTGTATAAGTATTAGCTGTCCTTGTTAGCCTGATTCTCATCTGGGCCAGGCAAATGAGGATTGAAAGCCTTAGAGGGAAAATTGGGATGAATGTGAGATGTTCAAGTTCTTTACAAAGAGCCTCAACATCCAAAGATAAAGAAATGCTGAGCTAGAGGGAAAAGGATTCCTGGCTTAAATAAAGAAAAAAAACAGCTAAGCATTAAACCAGGTATTTGGAGAAAAGTCAACAAAGGCAAGAAAAAAAATGAGAGAGAGAGAGAGAAGGAAATAAGCCAGTATGGGTAAGTGCGTAGAGGAAGAATTGCACCTAAAATCAGGGACCTCACTGGGGGAGGAAGGAGGTGACGTTTGCAAAGCCAGAATGGTCTTGCTAAGCCATCCTTTATGGAGCCCAGGACTGCCCTGTGTTGTTTAATCCCATGACTGCCCTGTATTTATTGGTGAGTTGCTTTTGTTTTCTCTGGTTCTTCAGCAGGCAACCTCTCACGCACAGTTCACTCTCACTTGCTCTAGGGCCTTCAGCCCAGCTGTGAGCCCAAAGCCAGACTGAATGGCAAGGATACACCAAGGCTCTATGCAACACTGCCCAATTATTGTGGCTTTCTCTGATCCCAGACCAAAAAAAAAAAAAAAAAAAAGAAACCTATTTTCTTTTTTCTCCAGTAACATATCAAGCAAATGAATTTGAAACCAAATTGAGCACATGCAGTTCATATTTTTGAACGTGATGTTTTAGGGGAATCTAGACCAAAACCAAATTTCCTGAATGCAAAGCTCTGGGTCCTTTGGAGTCAAAATTGATGGCAGTCCCTTCCTCTGCTAGGGTCATGTCAGGAGTAGGTCAGCCCCAGGGTACTCTGTCATATCAGGCAACAGATTCCTTTGGGATCTAGAAGAGCTGAGTTTCCTTTGACGATGTATTTAGGACCAGATGTGATGGAAGCATCCTTCATCAACCTCTTAATGAAGGGACTAGGATTAGTTGAAGCTGGGGCCCCGTCCATGGGGCCCATTTAACAGCAGGCAGGATCACTTAGGATTTGATGAAGAAAGTTGTATTATTAATTTCTTAAATGGGTGGGAAGGGAGAGGCTGCTAATTACAAGTTGGACAGATGAGAAGATGAAATTGGAGAGCACCAACTGAAGGGAGAAGGCTTGTTTTCATTGAGCTATAGAATATTAACCACTCACTAGGCAGGGTGCAGCAAGGAAGGCCCCAGTGAACAGAGGTGATTTTTTTTTCGGGGGTGGTTCGGAGGGAATTGCAGTTGACCAAAGGCTCTCAAATCTAGCCTTGTGTGGTGCATGGGGAGGCAGAGGGTGGAGGCCAGGCCTTGGGAACAGGAGAGCCGGGGTCACCCTTCAGCTTCCCCCAGAGGCAAGCAGGTCCCTCCGGGAACTTTCACCTCCCTCCCTGAGGCTGTGGTGTGGTGTGTAGCACGGACATGGATGCTCTAGCTCCAAAGGGTCAGATGCCTCCGAAGAACTGAGAGCAGGGGGTGTCTTAGGACATCTGCATGGGCTTCAAGTGAATAGTCCAGGTTCAAATGAGGATGCAGTGTAGATGGAGATTGCCAGGTGTATTCAGTTAGTGGCCTGCCTCAGGCCTTTTCCCTTCTGAATCAACAGAGACAAGGGGATATACTTGCCACCATTTTGGTGAAAATCCAAAAGCAAACTAGATTAAGATGCTGCTGTTTCTAACCAGCCAACCCATGGTTTCTGAACCATGAAATGAAAGCATTGTTCCTCTGTGCATTCTGACAATGCCACCATTTCTAATCTCAGCAAGTTTAATCCCCATGTGTATAATGATTTAGAGCCAAGGTGACTTCTCCTTCTAAACCCTCATACTTCTCTTTTGTTCTTCAGGCATTTAGTATGATTGCCATGTTTAATGTAATAAAGTTTGCCATTGAAATTTTGCCCTCCTGAGTAAAAGCAATGGCTGAAGCCAATGTCTCTCTAAGGAGAATGAAGGTAACTAATCCTGGGTGAGTAAGGAAGAGAGATCTCATTTTAGGGTGGGAAAATGCTCAGATATGTAGAGGCTGTACCAACATGTTGGAGAGCTGGGTCACTAGTTGAGCTGACATTGGAAGATGGGCATTCATTCAAAGTTAGATAAATAAACGTGTATGAAGGATAGAGCAGGCAGAGTTTTATAGGTTGTCTTACTTTGTAGGAATGATGAGATAGAGTCTCTGTACATGAAGATGATGTTCCTGACCCTCTATTCCCTAAACAATCTATATATCCTAAGTGTTCCACAAGTGAATTTGGGTTTGTACTGAGTCACCCCTACTTTACCTGGTTTGTCCTTTGATGGGCGTGGTGATGGAAGTGATGAAGAGGATGGTGGGGTCCCCAATTTATGCACTCATTTAGTTTCTTCATTCATTTATTCACTCATCAAAAATTTACTTTGTGCCTCCTATACACAAGACATGGAAAATGCACATGCAAGGAAGAGAGAGCCTTTATCCTCAAGAGCCTCTGTTCCAGTGTGGGACCAGGCACTCCAAGGATTTCTATGCATGATAAGGATATAAGTGACATTCAAGAAGGGCAAGTAAAGTGTTTTGAAAGTTCAGCTGAGGAGAGGAAAGGGAATAAGGGCATTTGAGCCAACACAAAACTTGTTCAAGCATCTATGAATGAATGACCATAGATCATCATTGATTGAATGATCTTACCTAAGCCAGAAATCCGCAAGTCATTGTAAGCATCCTTGGTTCATGTACTCCTCTTTTCCCTTAGCATACACATCCGACCAGTGAAGAACCCTGTCAAGCCAACTCCTGATTATGATATTCTCTCCGTATTAAGGGGTGCCATTGTAAGGTTGGACTGGAAGGTGCACTGCTGAGTTACCACTTTTTGAACAAAACATAAGAATCAACACCATCTCATTAACTGCATGTATTATGATATCAGAAAAAAATAAAGGTGCTTCTTAAACTAGATGAAGGATGGCATTTCTTGACTTCTCAAGCTTCACTCTGTCCCTACTGCCATTGCCTTCAATTGGGGCCTCCATCACCTCTCATCTGATTAGTGCAGTGATTTACGAACTAACCCTTCTTTTTCTAACATTCTCCTCAGGTCCGTATAGCACTCAACCCTAAGAGAGCTGTTAAAATATTGGTCTGATTACCAATACTCATTCTCACCTGCTCAAAATCCTTGAATCCTTGTCTCCTCCAGATTCTCCACCCATGGGTTCGCAGTTTTGTGTCCACCTCTCTTCCTATCCCCTTCCCACCTTGAGCTCTGTGCCTCAGTAATTCTGAATTGCTTGTTTCATGCCGCTACCCCAGCAAACCATGCCTTTGCATGCTCCTTGCCTTTGCCCATGCTGGGCCCTAAGGTGGAATGCTCTCATTGTCTTTCCCGTCTCTCATCTCTGCCTGTACAACACCTGCACAGACCCAGCTCAAGCACCAACTGCACGGACCTCGAGGATGAGAAGCCAGTGTCCCTTCTCTGCAGTCACAATACTTTGTCCTCATCACATTTTACAGAAACAATCTGTGCATGTACTCATCTCCCTCCAGACTCTAATCTCTTAAAGGTCAGGAACTGTGCCATATTTATATTTGCATTTCTGCTGTTCGGCCCAAAGTCTGGCACATCGTCAGGGCTTAGCAAATGCTTTGTTGAACTGGGCTGAGTGGGCTAGGAACAGGACACAGCAGAGATTGAACACATGACCTTGGTTTCATAAGCATTTAGTGCTAAGCAGTGAAGTCCACTGCCCTAAGACTGGCAAGACTGACTGTCTTGAGCACGAGGGTGAAATGTAGCTGGGATCGGCATTCTCCAATGTGGGTAACCCACATAGGCCTTGTGGTTAAAAGGCAACTGTTCCAGATAGCATGAGCTAGTGGGCTATTTCTGCTGCAGCTTCTCCTGGGGGAATAATTTCAGAACCTCTTTCCTGGATGTGCTGGGTTAGAATGGTCAAAATTATGACTTGGGGTTATTAGAAGATATATTGGGATGATTCTTGCAAATGCATGACATCTGCTCCGTTAATTTTATCTCTTTAATCTTAGAAAATTCTCATAGATAAAAGCCCTCCATCTTACATTACCCAACCGGAAGACCTAGATATTGTGTCGCTTGTAGCAAATGCCACCTTGACATGGAACATGAAGCCAGCAGGAAAAGTGACCCAAAGAAAGTGCAGAACCTGAAGAGGCATTTATTCAAGAAACAGCAGTCAGAGGCATTCCGTGAGTGGAGTCCAGCAGCCAAAGGAGCCACTGCCCACGTAAGCCTTGTGGTGAGAAAGGTGAGTGTGTGTTGCACAGATGTGGCCTCTAGCCCTCCTCCTTGCATTGTATAGCTATGACCTTCCCCAGGTCTGATTCAGTTCAGTTAGAACGGGAGGTGGTGATGGGATGTCTCTAACCAGAGTCCCTGTATTATTCCCCTAATTTTAAAACTATGTACATGAACACTGGAGACCCCCTCTCCGAGCGTGGAGAAGATGGTGGTTATATTCATTCTGATTTGCAGGGCTTCCCTTGGAGTCCGTTGCAATTTTGAATGAACAGTCCACTCCAGGTGGCTAGGCTTGACCTGACTAGCTTTCATAAATCTTTTTATATTTGTTCTTTTCTCATGAGTGTGAGACAGGGTCTTACTCTATTTCCCAGGCTGGAGTGCAGTGATGTAATCAAAGCTCACTGCAGCCGTAAACTCCTGGGCTCAAGCGACCTCCTACCTCAGCCTCCCAAGTAGCTGGGACTACAAGTATGCATCATCACGCCCACATAATTTTTTAAAATTTACTGGGGGAAAGTGATAATTTTTAAGTTAAATTTTATTTTATTTTTTTGTAGAGATTTCAGAGCCTCTTTCTTGCTGTTTCCCAAGCTGGACTTGAACTCCTGGCCTCAAGTGATTCTCCTGTCTTGGCCTCCTGGGTCAAGCACTGGGATTATAGGCATGAACCACTGCTCCTGGCCTAGATAGGTTTTTAATTTCACATTGAAATATTATGATAGATAATGATGACTGAAAATTTTGAACACTACTATTTACCAGACACATAATAAACTCACGTTACCACCCCAATAACCAGGCATCACAACTGCCCCCACTTGATGATTGAGAAGCCCGAGGCACAAGAGTGTTAAATAGCCCAAGGTCACTAGCTAGCAGTGGCAGAGGAGGGTTTCACACCCAGGGCACCTGGTTTCAGAGTCTGGGCTCTTAACCACAGGGAAATACTCCTCTTATAAAAAGCAAACTGAGATCAACAAGCAATCTGGCCAAGATCTAAAGGTCTAAGCCAGCCAAGCCAGCCAGTGTCTGTTGGCTGTTCCGTCCCTCAAGACTGGGGGAGGGAGATTTTAGGCCACACTGTGGATTTAGGGAACGTTTGGCCTCCTCCTGCATCTCTTGCGTGCCTCTGCTTCTTGCTCTGGGAACTCAGCAGTGCGCTCCCAGGGTAGCAGTGTTGATTTAGCTGCAGAGGGCCCAACATTAATCTTGTGCCTAGTATTTTAATCTCTCACCTTGTTGACTCACTCTTTCCCTGTGTGAGCATTGTAGAAGGAAAGGTTCTCATTTATTATGTAACGTCAAGCTCAATAGCCAGTGTGAGAATGGTACTCTCGTAGCTAACGATGCTGACTGCCACGTATTCATTGGAAACAATATTTGGTTGGCTGAGTACAATTGAGCTCAGATTTCAGCTAAGTCCCACCGAGTGCCACCTACTTTGCCTTCTTGTCACTTTCCCCGCGGAGCGCCAGACTTCCCCCACACTGCCTTCCCATTTGCCTCCGAGAGGCCTCTACAAACTCCCCGGTGCTCTAAGGACATTGCCTTCTAGCCACGAAATGGTTTTACTGACGTGCTTTTCAGTATGTTGGTGGCTCCAGAATTCGTGCCTCAAGGATGCAGTCAATGTTTTGTGGAATAAATTGAAGTTACAGTGTGGTGCTGATGAAGTGTATTGCCTCTGGAACCTGGGGGACCCTAGTTCCAGGCCCATCCACTTTCTAGCTGCTTGACTTTGGACATCTTGCCGAAGCTCCCTGAGCCTCTGTTTCTTTACCTGTGCCATGCATTTCATAGAAGTACCCATTTCACAGGGTGGCTGTGAGAACTCAGACACCACATAAAAATGCTAAGCCCATAGTTACTGTCAACTGATGTTAGGTACGGCTGTTGCCTTTTTCTTTAATAATTATGTCCAGCCTCAGTGCTGCCCTCAAATGTTCGACATTCAGCACATCCAAGTTTTTCCAGGTTTAGCTCCTCAATTCCATTAGACTGGATCCTCCATGGGATCAGGGTTTTTTGTTCACAGCTATGTCCTTATCTCCAAGCCCAGCGTGTGGCTCGGAGGTTGCCGGCAATGTTTGTCGGGTGAAGCGTCAGAGGATAGAGGCCTCATGGATTTTCTGCTAAAGACAAGGATGAATCTAGAAGGCTTCTTCCTTGCCCTCAAGAAGTGGACAGGACTCAAAGGGCAACCAAGTACCTAGTGAGACTAGATCACATCTGTGGTCTCTTTGTCCGCAAGTCTCCATAATGCCCCAGTTTCTTGAAGCCCTTTTATGGGAATTAAATAGAATCAACTTCATTTACATGCATATGGGCTCCACAAAGGCAGGGAGGCAACTGCATGGATCACTATTTTGTCCCAAGGTGCCTGGGATTCAGCAAAGACCTTGTCTAAGGAATTATTGATGACAGGCAGCAACTCTCATGTGTTGCAAGTGGCAGAGAGGGGATGTCCCTTTCTGGTCTAGCTTGGGGTGGGGAAAAAAAGCCATATTTGGCCCCATGTTGGGCATCTTTGCCCTACAGATTACAGGGAGCAGGCCTACATGAGAATGTTCTTAGATGCTCCAAATGCAGTACTGCAATATCTGCTTGAACACAAGAGTGGTCCTGCTCCCACCTCAGTCTCCACATGGGCTGTTGGCCTGCAGTGATTCTCCCCAGATATCCCCGTGGCACCCTTCCTCACCTCCTTCAGGTCTTACCCAAATGTCACCTGTGGCAGATGCTGTTCCTGCCCATGTGCCCTGGACCTCTAAGTGTTTCCTGGCCATCTTCCAACTGCCTTATCTGTATCTGTGCCCGAGGGCTCTGCACACCTCCATAAAGACCTTCACAGACTAGAGAGGAGGCCTCAAACAATGACTGCTGGGGCCTCAATACCCCAACTCTTTCTGCCACTGGACGAGACAAAGCCATACTCAGTTCCCCAGAGCTTCCTCCAGTTTCCCTGCAGGGGTGAGTTCCATCTGCCTCCTGGGTAGGATATTCTGTTAGGGAGCTAACCCAATCGGCTGCCCTTTTTGGGCCACCTTCCCTCTCCTGTATCACTTTTCCTCTTCCCTGATGGAATTTCCTGCACCTTCCAAATGTGAGTGTGACTTTCATTCAAATCCTTGATTCAAGGTGTGTTTCTGGGACAACTCAAGCTAAGACATCTACCTTTCCAGTATGGCTTTCCTGGCACCCCCGAACCCTCAGTCCACTCCTTGTCTCTTCTCTGCTTTCATTTCTCCATGGCAAGCATAGATGTGCCTGCCCTACATTTCACTTACTTGTCTTGCTTCCTGCCCCTCCCCCCATGACTACAAGGTAAGCTCCATGAGGGCAGACTCAAGCCTTTGCCCGTTGTGTTCATTGCTGTTCTTGCTGGTGGTTTGAACAGTGCCTGGCACATAGCAAGCTCTAATAGTGATTTGTTGGTTGAATTAATAAATCCGCAGCTTTAGAATGTTAGAATAGTGTAACTTCTTAGTAATTCCAGATTGCGTTATTATGGTGGAGGATTCCACAAAAGAAATTTTTTTTTTGAACAGCTCCTAGATCTCCATGCTTCAAAAGCTACCCTAATCGCCCTGGGTTGTACAGCCTTTTGTGTCCCATTAGATTTGCTTTCCTGGAGTCTGGACACAGAATAGTCTTCATCTTCAGGGCCTGTGTCTCCCAGATCAGCACAATGCTGTTTCACATCAGTGATCTTACATAATTTCTAGAAGCCCTCTGGGTACCTGGCTATGCCACACAAGGGAAAGCACTTAATTAAGACTTACATTCCTGCATCCTCCCAGGCTGTGTGTATGTGGGCAGGGGTGGGGTGGCTACAGTTGCCATGTCCCAGAGCCTGCGGTGACCCCTTGGTCTCCACCTGGACTGACCAGCACAGTTTGGGAGCAGCACCTTTGGACCAGATTCTCTAAGAAGTGGGAGAGAATAACCCACATGTTAATGTCCCGTCTCTGTTTCTCTGGCAGGGGAAGATCTTGGGAATATGTGGGAATGTGGGAAGTGGAAAGAGCTCTCTCCTTGCAGCTGTCCTAGGGCAGGTAAGCTGTGTGGTAAGTGCTGTAAAGATGGGACATTAACATGACAATGAAATGGCCCCTTCCGGCCAGGTGTGGTGCCATCAGAACAGTGGACCCAGCGGATGGGCTAGGCTGCACTGGACACTGTGCGTGTGGTTCATGTTCATTTCTGGGAGGTTAATGCATTCAGCAGCTCCAGGGCCCTGGGCCAGATGAGGCTGAGCTTTTCACACACTCTTGAATTTGCCCTCTGAGGAAGTGTGTTGAATGGTGATTGCCCCCTTGCCTAAAGCTCGATCATGGTCAAAGGAAAGATGGGTCCTTAAACCCGTGGTTTTCTCCATGACTTGGGCTGCCCTGATTTAGAAATGCCAGCAAGGCAGCTGGGTGAGGAAGGACTTTGGCATCTGGAACTCACGGTGACTATAGATATATTTTATGTGTGAACTACAGCAGCTTGTGCCCCCAGCTTTTGCAAACCTTGGGGTAAAAGAGAGAGGGGACTTGGGTCCTTATACCTTCTATACTCCCTCTAAGTTGGGTGACCCCAGGGAAAATGGCCAAGCCATTTGTAGTTTTCACAAACCTCTATATCACCATGGTTTTTAAGTCACGTCCCATATGAATGAGTTTTGTGGGAAAAAAATGCTAAGTCCTCTTTCTCCCCCTCTGCTGTTGCTAAAGGGAAGTTTGGGCGGCTGGGATTGCCTCTTTGAGGAAGAGGTCAGGGTACTTCTGAAGAAGTGGGGATAACAGAATACGGTGGTGGGGGGATGTGTCTTATAAGTTTTAATACGAGTGACTTCTTTTGGCCTCGGTTGACTCATCTATAGAAAGAATGCCAACTCCTTCCCTTCATGGAGGCGGAGGTGGGGGTTGAATTGGGTGAGTTCTTGAGGTTCCCCCACATTCTGAGAGTGTGTGCCTCCGTGATGAGTCAGTGGGAGCCGTTGAGGTGACTCAGCTCAATCCTCCACTTAATGATGTAAATACTCTTGATAGCATCCTACTGCATAAGGGATGGTCCAACTTCTGCTCAGATAGCTCCAGTGATGGGAAACTCATCATGTCACAGCCAGGTCCCTCTTTGGAGAGTTTTGATGTATATTGGAGTGAAATTTGCCTCCTTTTAACTTCTGTCCTTGGGAAATTTTGAGATAACATTGAATCTAACTCCCATGCAACAGTGGTAGGATAAGGCCCCTCACTGCGGCCACTGGGGAGGAAGGGGGGCACTCTGGACTGCTTGGGTTCCCCAGCCATTTCTGCCACATGCTCACTGTTTAGTTTTGGGCAGGTAACTTAACCTCTGTGAGCCCCATACAACCTCTTGGTTTCCTTGTCTGTAAAATGGGGCTAAGGAGAGTTGCGGTGAGGACTGAATGAGATTATGTAAGTAATAGTTGGCTACAGGATAATTTTCAAGGCCAGTCATGGTGATATACTTTGAGCATACACTTAATGCAGTGCACGGAATATACCCTACACATTAAAAATACCACGATCACTATTGTTATCATCATGGTCTTTTTTCCAAATTGAATTCTCTGTCCTTTGCATAATTCCTGAAGTGAAATGGCATCACATCCTTTGGCTGCCTTGGCGACTCTCTTTCTCTGCCCCCGGACCCACTGCCACTGCCCCGTGAGCATCAGCCCTGAGATCTGTGGCCTGCCCCACATGTTCCCTCTGTTGATAGCTTTGAACGTTGCATCCCCACGAATGTCTACCCTTGTCTATTGGATGCTCACCAAGAGGGGTCATCTTAAATGAATGTATGTACTCAGGGTCGCAAACTGGAGCCCATGCATAGTTTTAAGTGGATTGCTGAATGTTTTAAAAGTCCAAAGATTTCATATGCAACTGGATCTTTGACTCCTCTTGACAAATCAGCAACTCCTGCCCCATCAAGCCTGCATCCTTGCATACCACCAATGATGCAACTGAGTCAAGGCGGCTTCCTGAAGGTGGGGCTAGCACCAACAGCCATGCAGGCTGTTCCCTGCTCCCAGGAGCTGGCTGAGCAGGTTGGATCCAGCCAATGCACCTGGAGGAAGGGGAGCCTCTTGTGAAGAGTCTGCTCAGAGGACATCCTGTTGTAGTCGGGCCCAGGTGCCATGTGCACTAGGAGCAGCCCTGCAGTCCAGGCTCTCCAGTTTGCAGCAGGGCTCACCACTGCCTCTTTCTAAACATTCCCTGCTTGGCCCTATGCAGGTGTTTGACTCTGAGATTCTCCATCTGCATGGTTGGGCTTTCTGGTGCTTGGACAAGATGTTCGGTTGACGCTTTTGCACCTTTGTAAGCAATACTCATGAAATCGATGGGTGGCCGGGAGCAATGGGTGCTCGGGAAAAGTCCTCAAGGCTTGGCTCCTGAAGCTTCTCTGGTCTTGCTGCTCCATGTGCCCCTGTGCGAAGGGGTGGTGGCAGTCTGTGGAACTTTGGCCTACGTTCCCAGCAGGTGTGGATCTTTCATGGAAATGTGAGAAAAAAACATACTATTTGGAGAAAAGTATGATTGCAAAAGGTAGTATTAACTTTCAAAGCAAGAGGCACATTTACGTTTGGTACACATTCTCCTACAGATGCCAGTGCTGTTGGTAATGACTGCTAAGTGGGTTCTGAGTTTAATGAGTTCTGATTAAACATTCATCAGATCCACAAAGACACTGGTTGTCTTCTTCCTGAGCCAAGCATTCAGGAGAGGCAGCTTCTGCAGACCTGCGACTGCACGCTGGGAACAGGATAGAATTGGCACTTCATTCCCAGGGCAGAGGAGCATATGTTCCAAGGTTCTCTGCAACAGGACATATGTGGCCTGACGAAAGAAATAGAAATCTAGCAATTTTGCTTTAGGCTGAGTACCCAAAACTGCTTGAAATCATGAGCAAGTATGTAATGAATCAGCCCTGACATTATTAATCGACATCAGAGCTCTCAGGATATATTATCACCGTTAGTGTCCTCAGAATGATCTAATCGAATAAAAACAAAGCTCAACTTATAATTGCTCGATTTTCAAATGTTATTTTATTTTTAAATGGACATAATTACATCTATCTCTGGGGTGCATTTTCATGTTTTGATATATGATGCTGGGGGAGAGGGGAGTGTGGGGAAAAAAAAGATGTTGACCGAAGGGTACAAAGTTTCAATTAGACAGGAGAAATAGGCGCTAGTGACCTATTTGACACAATGGTGACAGTAACACATTTTAATGCATTATATATTTCAAAAGTACTAAATGAGTATACTGTGAATGTTTTCAACACGAAAATTGCGAGTATTATTTTTAATAACCGCAGTACGTAATGAACAGAGAGCAATTTGGGAAGAAGTATTTTCTCTAAGAACATTTAACAACTGATTAATTAATTCCATAATCACCTTGGACACTTCTAGAGTGATTCTCTCCCTACTTCTGAAATGTTTGATTTTTCTAAATTTTAATTTTAATGTAGATTCAGGGGGTGCAGGTTTGTTACAGAGGCACATTGTGTGATGCTGAGGTTTGGGTTTCTACTGCTCCTGTTCACTCTCTAGTGGACATAGTACCCAAGAGGAAGCTGTTCATCCCTGCACCCTCCCTCCTTTTGGGATCCCCAGTACCTATTGCTGTCTTTATGTCTGTGCATACCTGAGGTTTAGCCCCCACTTATAAATGAGAACAAGTGAGATTTGGTTTCCTGTTTGTGTGAATTTACTTAGGATAACGAAGTCCAGCTGCATCCATGCTGCTACATGACCTTGTTCTTTTTTATGGCTGCATAGTATTTCATGGTGTATGTATATCGCATTTTCTTTATCCAATTCCCTATTGATTGGACCATCATCTTTAAGCTCTGGAAAGTAATGGCTTCCTATGGTTCTTTGCTTAGCTTGGTGTATTGCTATGTACATTCTCTCATTTAAGTCCCATAACCACCCATTTAGGGAGATTCTGGCATTATATCCCCATTTTATAGATAAAGAAAAAGGCCCAGAGAGGCGAGTTGACCCTCCCAAGGTATTAAGTGCTATTAAATGTTGAGTTGAGTCTTGGACTTAGACTTTGAGCTCCAGAGCAGCATCAGTTGCCTGGAGCTGGAGGTGCCTGACAGCTGGGTCACTCAGAAACCTTTCCGGGCATCACAATGCTGAATTAAGAGAATTGGAGTTGGTGTTAGGAATTTGGCTGTAAGCTCTCAAGCAGTAGTTTGCCCTTTCCAATCTTACCCACCAACTCTGTCCCTGCTGCTGGCATGGCCAGCATGTATGTTCCCAGGAAGAGGCTTGTCAGTTACCCCTTCTTCCCTGGCCATGTCATCCTGTGGCCAGGAGGCTCAGGTGTGGCAGGGAGGTGATCAGTGCAGGAGTCAGTGATCAGTGCAGCCAAATTATTCTGCTCAGCATCTCTTGGCCTGTGCCACCCACCTGGAATGCCTTCTTTTTCTGTGGAAGTGGACTGGACAGAGGGTTGCCTTATTCATCAAAATGACGTTCAGAGGGCAAATATGTGCCAAATGCCTTCAGCATGCAGGGCAACATGGGGACAGAGATGGCTCAGGTGTATGTTTGCCCTTAAGATACTCAAGCCTGGAAGGAGCTATTAGAAATGCACAGAAATGACAGTGCACCAGGAAGAGATGTGCCAGGTGGCAGGAGACTATGCTTGGATTGTTCCAAGGTGGCAGAGATCACAAGAGGGTGGTGGATCTGGAAAGAGAGGGTGGCACTTGAATTGGGCTTTGAAGAATGGCTCTAGCATCATTCCTATGTGGCGTGATTAGCAGAGATTCTGCTCCTGGGGCAGAAACTGTGGTTCTCAGGGCCATAGGAAGCAGGCGGGTGGGAGGAAATTGAAGGTGGGAGGGGCTGAGGGGAGGAAGATGTGCTGAACAGTCTGAGTCTTGTAGTCGCAAATTGGCAAATGTAGCAATAGTAATAATAGCCCCTACTGTCCCCTGTCCACAGAGAAATAATAGTTGCAGATTGGCAAACATAATAATAGTAATTATAGCCCCCCCATCCATAGATTGGGGAGCGGGGCCTCAACCTCTCCAGGGAGCAGAGGCAGCAGATTAGCCTGGCCCACACTGTCTACTCTGACCATCAGCTCTACCTACTGGATGACCTCCTGTAGGCCGTGGATGCCCACTTGGGGAAGCACGTCTTTGAGGAGCACATTAAGAAGATGCTCGGGGGAAGACGATCGTCCTGGTGACCCACCAGCTGCAGGTAATGGGACATGCAGGATCCAGGAGGTCACGGGATGGGTATGGCTGGTGCCTGATGCTCACAGAGGATCCTCTTCTGCCTAAATCTACCTGCCTTCAGCTGGGAATGTGGGGAGAGAGCCAGGGATGCAAGAGACACTCATGCTTCCCCAGCCTTCCTGGCTCCCAGGAGCCCCGCCTGCTCCACTCTGTGTATGGCCTCAGTGGGGCCAAGACCTCTCCTGCGCCGGAGGGTAGAGTCTCTAGAAGAAATTAAGTCCTGTCTGTGGGCGGACTAGGGCACACTTCCCCCAGTTCTGAGCACTTGGTAAGATGGGGAGCCAGGGAAGGCAATGAAGGCCCCACGCTTCCTCCAGCAATTCTGGGCAGTCCTGAGGCCAGGGGCGCCTTGTCTGGGGGTTTCAGGTAGACCCCTTGGATGAGGGGCCTGGATGACCGAGGCATCACATCCCAGGGGAAAGGGGCTAGAAGTCAGGACTTTGGAACTAAGGCTGAGGCTTTGGAGAAGGTCTCTCTGCTCAGGGCCACTCTCTCAGGCTAAGGAGCATGAATCATACTGAAGAAAGTGACTGGGCTTGACCTGAGTGAATTTGAGAATTTGGCAGGGTGGGGACAGTCCTGACCGCGTAAGGGGTCCTGAACGCCTGGTGGGAATCCAAGAACATCCTCCTCCCAGGGCAGGTTTCCCTACTTCCAGACCATCTCCCTCTCCCCTCTTTATAGGGAGTCCCCAGAGATGTGTGGGGGAAGGGGTACGGTGCATGTGTGTGTACATGTGTGTTCATGTGTGCACGTGGGTGCCTCCTTGCCCGACGAGAGAGTCCTCAGGACTGACTTATGTGCGAGGCCTACTGGGGCAGGAGAGCAAGAGTCCTGTCTTCTTTACTTTCCTGCTACCTGCAGAGAACATGCTACATAAGGGCCTGGTCTGGAGGCAGGAGGCCGGTCTCATTGCCTTGCAAGGGTAAGTCAAGTGGGGGTGGAGAGGGAGGGGCAACAGCAGCAAATAAGGTTGCCATGGCTACAGGATGCTGCAGCCAGCATTTTAGGACCATCCAGTAGTGGCCAGGAGGACCAGCCTGGAGCTGGGGAGGACCAGCTTGAAGACTCCGTAAAATCAGGCTTTCCCATTGCTGTGACGCTGCCCCTAGCTTGAGCCCGACCTTTGCCCAGGGCTGCAGTTCTGGCCTTGGAATAAGCTCCAGGCATCCGAATTTTGCACATGAGGATTGTCTGGATTTCCTCTGAGTGGGCCTGAGCACCTCCAGAAAGCATCACACTGGACTGGTGCAGACAAGACCTCCTGGTTCTTCTGGCCTAGTTCTCCTTCTGAGGAGTTAGGATGGAGGACGAGGTCGGATTTCTTCAAGACCCCATGAAGTGACTACAAATCGGCTCTGGCCCAGCCCAGACGCTAAACATGGCAGCCCCTGCTCTGCACCGGGAATGTCCCTGGAGATTCCCTGCAGCAGGAAGGGCTGTCCTCTGAGGGCTGTGGGGACCTGGAGGGGGATGCCTTGTCCCTACAGATGTGGTTCACAGCTGTCCCTCCAGGAGTCTTCATGAGGGGAATCATAACCTCAGTCCTGGTCCAGTCTTTGAAACTGACTGACCAGCAGTATGACCTCAGGCAGGAGCCATCTTCACACCAGGCCCGCCTCCTCAGAGTCCACTTCCCCCGTCATTTTATCTCACTTTTTGCATGTTGGAAGAGGCAGGCAGCCACTAGGTGGCACCGGATCTTGGTCCCACTGTCCCTTGTCAGGGAGGATGGGACTCAGAGCCCCAGATCTGGGCCATGGAGCTTTTCTAAAGCCCATCCCCTCTGCGCTGACTCTCAGGCCCATAAGCAATCTGGGTGCTTCTGAGTGGTTGGGGCGGAGGATCGCTTTTCTAAGGAAACAAGTGAAAAGAGCCTGGGAGCGGCCACTGAAATCCAGCCCAAGGGCAGATTCAGTGACGGTTTGCAGAACAGAACTGCTCAAATCTGCCTCATATCTCTGGAGTGCACTGGGGGCTTGCTGGCCAGAGGGGGCCTCCCTGGGGGCTCCTGGAGCCGGATTGTGTGCTGTGACACAGGCAGAAAAGGCTGTGAGACTAGAACAGGCTTACGGTGCCTCAGTTTCCCCATCTGAAAAATGAGCTGATAAGACAGGGAGCTGGGCAGTCAGTGGGAGGGAGGAATGAGGGCTGGAGCTGTCCAAGCTGTTAGAACTGTTATCATTCAGCCTTTGGGTATCTTCCCTATTCGCTGAATCAAGTGCACAATGACCGAACGTAGCTATTTCAAGCTTGTAATCAAGACCGGCAGAGGTTGATTTGATCTTGGATGAACGTGCAGTATCGGGGAAGACCTCTGGCCCGTACTGCAAAGGCTTCTTTAGGTCAAACCATTTTCAATCTCGGCATCTTGCCTGCCTCTAGGAGGGGGCCTCCTTGATCCTGTGGGGAGGGCTCTGTGTCTCATTCCAAAATGAAAGGAAACCCTTCGTAGCAGAGCTCCTTGATCTCAAGAATGATACGGAAATGAAGGGAATTCAAATTAAAAAAAAAAAAAAAGTGCTTTGGGCAAAATGTGGAATGCCAGCATTAAACGTAGCTGTGTTTTTATCTCATACATAACGCTGGTGTAAACATCTCAGGACAGGGAATGCGGCCAGTTGTCTGGGGATGGCACCATGGTCTGCTTCTCTGGGGTAAACGGGGAAGACGAGGGAGCCTTATCATGTTAGAACAGCGGAAGACCTTCCTGAAGATCATATTTCCCCTCCTTACTAAGTCCTGGCTGCAGTGACTGTCAATTTTATTTTCCAAATCTTCATGATCAGTTTTCTATTTATTTATTTTACTTTTTTTGAGATGGAGTCTTGCTCTGTTGCCCAGGCTGGAGTGCAGTGGTGCCTTCTCAGCTCACTGCAACCTCTGCCTCTTGGGTTCAAGTGGTTCTCCTGCCTTAGCCTCCCGAGTAGCTGGATTATAAGTGCGTGCCACCACACCCAGCTAAGTTTTGTATTTTTAGTAGAGATAAGGTTTCACCATGGTGACCAGGCAGGTCTCGAACTTCTGACCTCAGGTGATCCACCTTCCTCAGCCTCCCCAAGTGCTGGGATTATAGGCATGAGTCACTGCCCCCAGCCATGGTCAGATTTCTTAGGAAGGCAGCTCATTTAAGGAGCAGTGGCAAAGGAAGATGCAGTGTGCTTCACTGTGACAGCCAAAGGCTGGTTGGCTTTTTTTGTACTCATGAGATCTGTGGGTACTCGATGAGTGGTTCTGTTAGGGGCCAGTCTGCCCCCAGGAGGCACTTGTCAGTGTCTGGAGACATCATTGCTTGTCACACCTTCGGGAGGGGGTGCTACCTGCATCTGGTGGGTAGAGGTCAGGAAGGTTGGTAAATGTCCCACAGTGCATGGGACAGCCCCCACAAACAGAGAATTATTTGGCCCCTAATGTCAACGGTGCTAACTAAGGTTAGAGAAGTTTGGCATGGGCTCTCCTTCCTCTTACCCAGGCAGGAGTTGATTCTTGATCACTTACCTCTGCAGTTCTTACAGTCCTGTGATGAAGTTACTGTGTTAGAAGATGGAGATATTTGTGAAATGGAAAGCCACAAGGAGTTAGTGGAGGAGGGAGGGCATTATGCAAAACTGATTCACAACCCTCGAGGATTGCAGTTCAAGGTAACTCCCACCTGGGCAGGTGTGGGAGGGACTGGGGAGGAATCCCTTGAGATTTCCTGCCTGGGAGAGGTCCTGTCACTTAGCTTTCAGAAGGAATTTCGTTTTATCTCCAGGATCCTGAACACCTTTATAATGCAGCAATGGAGGAAGCCTTCAAGGAGAACGCTGCCAAGAGAGAGGAAGATGCTGGTATGATCGGTTAGAATCCCATCCTTCTTATTGTCCTTGGCTTGAATCGACACTGATCTTTTTTTCACCCTAGTTTTGGCTCTCTGAAATGAGAAAGATGAAGGAAAAGAATCTGAAACACACTCAGAATTTGTAGACAGAAAAGATATTTCCCACTCATTCCCTCAGTCACGTATGCTTAAGGATGTATTGGGCATTTACTGTTTAGGATACATACAGTGTAGACACTGTGCGTGTCATTTTGGGCAGCTAGAATTGGATGGTCTAGGGTAGTGCGTGCCTTGGGGTTCCACTGCCTAAGTCCAAATTTTGGCTTTCCCACTTACTAGTTTTGTGAGCTTGAGCAAGACTCTTGGCCACTCTGAACCTTAGCTTCCTAATCCATAAAATGAGGAAATAGTACCAACCGCAGTTTCTTGCAAAGATTAAATGAGAAAATATACATAACGTGCTTCACACAGTGCCTGACACACAGTGATGCTCAGTAGTTATGAGCTGGAGAGATCGAGGTAATACACAGGGATTAGTTAGAGGCAAAGGCAGACCCAAGAGCTGTTTCCCACTCATTGAGAACGGATTATGAAGCTGTGAGGGGATCAAGGTGGGACAAGGTTATTAATTCTTTCAACAGATAAAGGCTAAGCATTAACTGTGTGCCTGGAACTAAGCTGGGCAAGGGAGAGGAAGAAGAGAGGCCCATGTTCTCAGGATCTTGTGGTCTGGTGGGGGCTCAGGCAGATGGGTAACTATGGAGAACCAGTAAGAGTAATGGCGAATTTGGGTGAGAGAAACAAACACGTCAGGGAGGGCTTCATAGCAGGACAGCCTTGGGACTGGTCCTTCAAGGACGTATAGGAGTTTGCTGGGGACACTGCGGTGAGAAGGTGGGAAAGGGTGGAGGGCTTGAGGTTGAGGGCAGGAAGAGATTCCAGGGAGGTGGGGAGGTGAGATGTGAAAGACGAGCCTGGTCGGGGCCAGCTGGTCAGGCCACCTCTTCTCCTCCTTAGATACCCTGCCTTCATTCACTCCACATCCCTACAGCACCCACTCTGTCCCCTGCCTCGTGCTGGACACAGAGAGGATGGGGGGTCAATAGTCCTCAAAGTACACACAGCAAGGTGGCTTTCCGAGTTGGAGTGCTGTTCCTCAATAATACATAGTAAAAACAAACAAACAAATAAAAAAACAGCATATTTCATTACATTTAAGACTCCATCCATTTTTTAATGCCACCACCATTTTACCTACCACTTGGAAAGAAAATATAATCTCTGCTAATTAAATGACATGACATAATAGGAAATGGAAGGCACATCCAGATTCCAGAGCTGATACAATGTGGGGGAAAGAAGTGAAGCTTCAAATCGATGAGATCTGGCATCCTCATGGTGTTTGTGATGAATGTATTCACATTTGGAAAGACAACAAATTTTCACAGTTCCAGAGGCTTCCAGGGCTCAAGTACCCAGATATCTCTTCTGCGCATTTTGGGGAAACCCCCAGGCTGCCTGCTATTTGGGGTCCTGTGGAGAGAGTAATCCCTGCTCCTCACTTCCTCATCACTCACCCTTCTCTGGAGAGGAAAGCGTAATTGTGAAATTTCACGCTGGAGAGAGACCCCGTCCTCAACGATGAACAACTGGGCTATCAAAGGCTGCGAAGGCTGGAGGAGGAGATGCACTCGTGGACCGGTTAGAGGCAACACTGCCCACCTGCCTGGCGTCGCAGCGCCTTCTAGGGCACAGCCGAGGCAAACGGAGCATGAGCAGCACACTGCCCCGGCCTGCGGGCTGCAAGGGGACGTGACCAGCCCTTTTTGTGCTCCCGGATGCCGCCGTTCATTAAGATCTGCCCACATGCTGAGCCATCTCCCTCATTTTGCAGTTTCAGAGGGAGACACAATGAGCTGAAGTCAGGCTGAACATTTTCAAAGGAGCTCCAGGTTCCTAGGCAGCAAGTATAATGGTGGCTCTATTCAGCGAGGTGCCTTTGAGGTGTGAAAACGTTTCCTGGTGGGCCAGGGTGCACAGAGTCCATATGCAGGGTGCCCCCTCTTCTAACTCTATTTATCTCTGTTTATAAAAGCCAAGTACGGTGTATGATTCTGCTTTGGAGCTGACATTTTCATGTTTCTCTGTGGAGAAGCAGAAGAGACCTGCATTCCGTACTGGCTGCTGGGAGCTGCTTTAGCCAGCATCTCTTTCCTCCAAAGTTGTGTTTCCATGAGAACTTGACAGTCACTTTCCCTTCCCCTTGGGGAATGGAAAGGACCTGGGACAGACATCGGGGGAATCAGGTATCCATGCAGCAGCCGACCTAGGGGATACGCTGGTTTTCTTCTGCATGGCGTGGGCTCTGAGAACACTGGACCTGCCGTTTTCTTGCTTACTCTGTAGCAGATGACATGGGTGCCCTTATCTCTTTAGCATGCCAAGCCCCCTCCCAAATCCCACCTCTGCATTCCTTTGCCTGGGGGCTCTTTCTAGGAGATGCCAGCTACCTGTCAAGCTGGAAGTGCTAGGGAATTAACACCCCTACCCAGGGAGCGGTCTTCACCCCATGGCCAATAGGAATTGGAATAGAAAAATCCCAGATCCCTCTCATCACATGGAAAAGCCCTGATTTTTCTGAGATTTCTCCACATGGGATGAAGCCCCAGTGGCCCACAGTGGTCACTGGCTTGGTGACATGCCTTTTATTGTTGCCTTCCCTTTTTTACTCTGTTTGGCTCCCAAATAAACCACATATATTCATAGTCTCTTCTTGGGTGCTGCTTCTAGGGGAAATATACCAAGACAACCCTTGCATCCCCAGGGCTGAGCACATAGTAGGTGCTTAATAAATATTTCTCAAGAGACCAGAAGCTTACTTCACAGGGCTGTACTGAGGACCAAGTAGCACAAAATGAGCAAAAGTGTGTTGGAAATTTGAGAGCGTGGGACAAGTGGAAGGACGCGTCACAGTCCTTTTAGCGGCGTTGTGGAGAGGGGCTGTGCCTGCCTTGCTGGGCCCCCGCCTCGGCAGTGAGTGCCATGGCACCTGTGTTCGTCTCCACAGTTCCTGTGCACCAGCTCATCCAGACTGAATCCCCCTAGGAAGGAACTGTGTCACCTGGAAAACATGTCACAAATACATTAAGGCTTCTGGAGGTTCTATATAAAACAACGGCTATCTTGATTTAATTTGCATTTTAAAAATCCTGTCTTAAACTGTTGGGTTCATGTTTTATGATTTCTTTAACAATTACCCTCTTTACACTAGGGCCATCTATCAATGCTTTTATTCTTTCCCCTCCTAAAAACTAATGTCTGATAATACAGCGTTTTAAATGGAATCATTCTTTACCTCCATTAAAGTTGCCAGACTCTTTTATTGGAGTGAGTGAGCAGCAGCATGAACCATACGCTTTGTACTCCAGTCGCTCCATACAGCAGTGGCCAGTCCATTGCCAGCCTTCCATGCTAGATGCTCATCTCAGTGTGCAAAGCATGCCTATAGCTTCATTCCCTGTCTCTCTCCAGTGAGACCGGGTTTTCTTTTTCCTTTTTTTTTTTTCAAGATGAAGTCTTGCTCTGTC